TGCTTCTGCAATTAAAGATTTTGCATGAGTTTGAAAAGGGGTGCATCGCCAGAGCTTTCGTACAGGATCGGGATGGAAGGTGGAAGGAAGTGGAGGTGCGTGTATATCGTATTACTCTTCATATATATATGTAAATTCCCACTAGAGCACCACAATCGATGGCCTACTGTTGCCGTGTTTGGCGTTGTGTAAAAGTACGGCGGAATTCTATATAGATAAATTTATATCCTCTCTGTTCTCTGTGTGTCTGTCTTAAGCAGGTGTTTGTCCGAGGCGGGATGTTGCTGATTGTGGCAGACTCGCCCAAACGAGCGCTCATTCTATACTGCAAGCATCCCACATCTTCCACCCTGCACCCGTGCCCTTACTGCCTTGTGGAGCAATTTGGAGACGACCGCGGAGATTTGGGGTCAGCCATGTATGACATAGAATCAATCAAAGAACGAGAGGCAAGATTTTGAGGGGGAGACTTCGTCTGGCTGAGTTGGCGTCCACACCAACGCCCCAAACGAGCCTCTCAAGGACACTCGGCGTGGTGGCGCTAGTAGCGGAACAAGAAATATGGCTGTTACACGACATCGTCAAGCTCGATGCACTCAAGGCAACCCCAGTCGAAAGCCTGCATGCGGATGCGTTTGTAAATTGAAACGATTTGCCAGTACATAGAGTATTTATTTACTGTTGTGTACCCGCGGGCGATACCATACAACCGGGCTCACCCCTACATTAGCATAATACGGCGTCGCCACCGACATAAAAAGCCGTCAGGGGTCGTGTTCGTGCGCTGTGGTGGAGACGCAGCGAGTGTATTAGATTATGAAGGGCGGGGCTACAGAGTACCTGGTAGATTCATGGGTTATACGCAAGCCACACTGTGCGTATCCCTATAGACTATTTCTCGTCACATAATTTCTTTGACATATGCGCACCCTCTGTTCTCTTTATCGTATGTTTTCTCTAATTGCGCACCCTAGAACGACCAGTCCCTCGTTCAGAGTTTCATCCTCACGAGATTGAATCCGGCCGGCCGGAAACTCGTGTCGGCCATCATCAGGGAGCACAGCCACGCTTTGTACGCACCACGCGAGAAGCCACTGAAGGACATCGTCACTAACTACTCTTCCTTGACGGGCAGCAATAAGTGGCTGCTGTCCTCCATCATGCTACTCGTCTTCCGACAGGTGCTTCAAAGCTCGTGGTCCATGATGAGAGACTGCCCGTGTGTGCAGAAGACCTGAGACTATGGTCTATGACGTATATATATGTACACTTGGACGGTAACTCTACGAGATCTACGAATTTGAGGAAGCTCGCGGGTCTCATTCTACGTAGGCGTGCATGGCGCATGCGGGGATGGATCAGGACAGGGCCCTCTCCACAAGCCCTTCATCGTACACCTATCCGATTGCTCGAGCGTCTACTGGACTCGCACTCGGCGTGCGCTCTAGCAGCATCACAGGCGGGGCTTGTGGCGAAGGAAGGAGGCCCGATCATCAACGGTGAATCGAGAAAAACTGAAACATGACCATCGGAGATCTGGGGTGTTTGGGTCTAATCGTCGAGCATGCCCTCCGTGGCGCCCTCACGCTCGACTCTCAGCGTTGGGGCAGGTAGGCCCCGAGGCCTACAGCTATCAGTGTGTAACGCTGTCTATCTCGGATAGAAATCCGTTTGTCAAATGGTGTAGTGTACACAGAGCAATGTCCAAACTCCGCACCCACAACTGAACAACGTGGCCGAGGGTGCACCAGGGACCCTGAAATAGACTGTTCCTCCGATAAAAATATCTCTGCTGCTGTTGACGCAGTGTAATCCTTCATGTGGCACGTCGGGGTAAGCGGCGCCGAGGGAGAAGCAAAACCCCCCAACCAGCACAAGTAGGTGGTGCGCAGAACATTGTTAAGGGTTAGCGCGAGTCCAATACACTCTGCTTCTCTGTTCGTGGACAGATATATATCATTGTTTGGATGTGGGAAATGACGAGCGGCGATGACGGGTGGCTTTTGCGGTGCATGCGTCACCACTTTTGTAGTGCTGCGGGCATCCGTCGCCACTTATTTTCTACAAACTGCCCGCTGATATGCATAGCGTTTATTTAGTAATAAATTGTTCGACGGAAGAAGTGCATTTCCCCCTTTGTTTGAGCAATCAACTCTCTCTTTGGTATACGTCTGGTAACACTAGACTTACAGAAGGTGAGGAGTGAAAAATATGCGTATGTTATGTCATGGACAAAGGTCTGCATCACCATGCACTTTCTGCCTCTGGTATTTCTGTGGAACTGGTATTGCGTAGTGTCACCAAAGTCAGAATGCATTTAGGACATTCAGTGGGGTACTTCGTCTTCTCTTTTTGTGAACAGTTCATACCCCGGGATGTAAGACCAGTCAGTCCCCCGACGGACAAGCCCTATTGTGTAGCTTGTCCAAATACATTGAGACCGTTGTCCATTCAACATGCAGTGGGGGACGATTCTTGCATTTGCTGGTGCGGTAAGTCCAAAGTCACAGAGGCTATGGCCTCCCGCTGGTCTTCCGTTCCAAGGTATAGTAAGGCTTTCGGGATTTTCTCTGTGAACTTAGGGTACAACTTCCACGCCACAGTTGGCATCGCACCCCTTCGTTTCTGACTTTGCCTTCCCTTCGGAAAAACAAATTAACTTCTGAAACACCAAGCCTGATCGACCGCCCTTTGATGTTCCTTTTTTGTTATTGTGACTTTGGGTTTCCCCGCGACTGACTTTCTTGCGGGATAAACGATTCGTACCCCCTGCGACTTGTGGCGGCGCTGTTCTTGTTGTTGTTGTCCCGGTTGTTTCTGGGTTGATACCCTAACCCTCAATCCAAAACCACTCCTGCGATACCTTGTTGGCGCTCTAGTTGTGGGTGCTATTCGACGATTGACTTGCCGGTGTTCGTACAGACGACAACGATTAAGAGTCCTTATGTGCTACACGGAAGTCATGTGTCCGACACTCTTGCTTCTTGTTCGATGGAGCGGCGATGTCCGTTAGTTTATTGGGTAGCATCATATGGATATATCGAGCTACACCATATACATGTAGACATGCAGCATTTTGAACAGCCAACCCCCGCTCGCGATACACTACGCGGCCATCCACACATGCGCAGTTCTAAACACTTTGCTACCTTACCGTCGAAATCCAGGGTCAGTACTTCCGATGCAGGGATCTACCCACACGCCAGACAGGCCCGCACGCGCGGGAAGTCAACGTCGGCACACCACGCCATCGCTGAGCACGCAGGCTTGGGAGGAAAGCAGAGGTGCTCGGCGGCAACGTGTGAGTGAACTCTCTCGTGTCGCCGGATTAGTCAGGCGTCTATACGATCAGGCGTCTATACGGCCTTTGGGTCGGCTGTTGTTGCTGTTGTTTGAATGGTCGCGGTCACGGTTATCCCAGACACCGGCGGCGGTTTGCTTTAATCTAACCCTCCCCCCCCCCCCTCAATTTACGGACCACATGACGCACAAGGTGGAGGACTCCGACAGCGAAGCAACCCCTGCGTCCATCGCGGAGGAACACTTCGGGTACTTGGGTTGGAAATGGAGGGGTAAGCATTTTTGCTCGAAGCTGCCTCTCTGTCTTTTCCTCAAACTGCACGACCGGGGTCACGGACACAATATTGGAACCGGAGCCGATGTGCTGCGTTGGGTCCGGGAGTGGCTAGCAACGTCTCGTTACAGAGATGTGGTGACGTTGGATAGTACGTCCCAGCAGGTCGCCCAGCATCTGAAAGCTTTGGGTCAGAAGGTACGATTATTTCTCGTTGCAAGTAAACACGTCACACATTGAGCAGTACGGCCGTATTTTTTTTTCTTTTTCGTATCTGTATATCTGTAGGCCCCGTTGGTATACGAGAACAGACGCGCTTTACCCGATTCGTCGATGAAATAAGACCAGGCTTGTGTCGTTTAAAACTCATCGGGAGGCGTGTGCACGTGCCATTTCTCAGGCGGAGCGGAATTCTTTGACGCAATCCGTGCTTTAACACACAACCCCCATGTTCCCGTGTTCCATCTCGTCTCACTTGGGGCAACCACCCCCCCCCCCACTCGATGCTGGAATGTCTTTCTTAAGTAGGATAACCTTGCGGATCTTTTTGGGCTCGACGCCGACATCGTCAC